GCTCTGGTAGCGTAGTGCCTAAGGTACTTGACTGCTAACCAGAAGGCTGGTGGTTCAAACCACCAGCCACTCTTAGGAAGGAAGATAGGGCAATCTACTTCCATAGTGATACTGCCTTGGAAACCCAAGGAGGGCTCACTATGAATCGGGTCCGACTTGACGGCACATGACAACAACAGCAACAAGACTTCTCTTAAGCCCAGTGGAAAGGCAAAACTGACCAATCCTCACTTTAGGGTTCTGTACACCATTTGCACAGTTCCACCCCTATAAGAACACCATATGCTTTGTTTACATTATTAGCAAGCTATCCAATCCCCTGGGTTGGTCACAAGCATCTCCCATTTGCGTAGTCCCACCCATTTATCTGGTGGGAGTCACAAAGACCGTGGCTAGAGGAGCCATATTAAGTAATTCACTGCACCACAATGGCGGAGCCTAGAGGGCAAAGCCTACATGTTTTTTCCCGAAGAGAAAGTTCCTAGTTTTGCTTTGATCCACCCTACTGATTCAAACCAATCTTGTATTATCTAATTGCCTTGTACAGGGATATTGAAGAAGCTTGTGATAGGACTGAGAAGAGTGTGGTGGTGTTATAAGGAGAAGGCATATTTTGACCATAAGAAGGAAAACCTGATACCAACAAAGAAGGAACCATAAAAATGAAATAGAAGAATGCATAGATGTGGGTTATTCACATTAGGAGCTACTGGTCCTTCATACAACTGTTAAGCCCTGAGGCTGTCACTAATGTTCATAATTGACCTCATCATCAGTTAAAGATTTAACTATGTTTAATATAATCTATTTGATATGTCAAGGAAGTACATAATACACTTTAGAATTTTTAAAATTGCATTTAAGTAACAGACACTTCAAGGGATCAATTTTGTTTACTTGCATAAATGACCTAAGTAGGTGTCAGATTCTAGCATTTTTTTGCCAGTCAATCTTCTTTTTATCTTTTCCTTTGTTTCCACTGAGATGAATTTTTTACACAAGACTTTTTGTCTCTTCCCTTTGAAGCTGGAGCCTTTATTAACTCTGTTCCCTCTTTCTATGGTATGGTTTTTGATCGTACGTAGCATGAACAACAAGATGACTAGTTTCCTGCTGTTTTGCCCTCTAGCCACTGTCTTTTACCTCAGTTCTATGGCTGAACTTCTTGTACAATTATATACATTTGTTGACTTAACTTTTTTATTGCCACACATTGCTCAAGCTCCCTATCCATTTCCACCTTATACCAGTCCATAGAGGTTGTTTAACGACTACTGTCATCAGCAACACATCCTAATGTTTACTATTCAACAAATACTGAGTGCTGTTGTAGGGGCTGGAGAAACACAGGACAACAAACGAGCGGAAGTCCATGCTCTTGAGCATTTTCTGGTTTGGGAGGAAGGCAAATAAATGGACAGAGTAAATTAGATAGTAGAGAAAAAAACACTGAACTATGATAGGAAGTGATTGGGGAAGAAGGAGCAACAACAGAAGGGATGTCTGGGAAAGACTGTGAGGAGATGAAGCTTGAGCTTCCATTGAGCAGTGAGGAGTCAGCGAAACAATTATCTGAGGAAGAACATTCTAGGCAGAGCGAGCAGCAAAGACAGATTCCAGAGGCAGGAATCAGCTTTGAGTAATAGAGAATTGTCTAGGGTGACTGAAGCACAGCATGGTGGATGCTGTGAATGCTCTGCTCAGATCGCCTTGGTCAGTGTAGTCCATAGGCTAAAAGGATGCTCTCCTTCTTCGGGCCTTGGTTGATGACTGACTCATAGTTATGAAAAGCTGTCCCTCTTGCTTTCAATGGGACTAATGTTGTGTGTGGGAGCTCTGGTAGTGTAGTGCCTAAGGCACTTGACTGCTAACCAGAAGGCTGGTGGTTCAAACCCACTAGCCACTCCTCGGAAGGAAGGTGGGACAATCTACTTCCGTAGTGATACTGCCTTGGAAACCCAAGGAGGGATCGCTATGAGTTGAGTCCGACTTGACGGCACATAACAACAACAACGTTGTGTGCAGTTGCTCATCTGAGCCTACCTTCTTCCTTGACTTTTTCTCCCTCTCTGTTCTTCCTTCTCACTACTTTTCTCAGAGCATGAGTCCGTATATTAACTGAACAAAAATTCTGGTCAGCTCTATTTTTAGGGAAGATTGACCTAAGGTACATAATAAACAAATTTTGAGATTTCTTTTAAGCTCCAGACCCTTATGTAGCTGCCTACTTGCCCTGTCCACTTGGATGTCCCAAAAAACCAAAAGCTGAAAAACAAAAACCAAACTGTTGCCAGCTAGGTGATTCTGACTCATGGTGACCTTACAGGACAGAGTACATCTGCCCCGTAGTGTTTCAAAGGCTGTAATCTTTATGGAAGCAGACTGCCACATCTTTTTCCCTTAGAGTGGTTGGTGGGTTTGAACCACTGACCTTTTGATTAGCAGCTGAATGCTTAACTGCTGAGCCACTAGGGCTCCTTAGATGCTCCAAAGATACCTAAAACTTAATAAGTCAGATATTAGATTCAAGGTAATTCTCCCTTCTTCCCAAACTTTTACTCTTCCTGTATCTACTTCTTTGGTTTATGACCCTACCTTTAACCTGATTGTACTAAAGAATTCAGTCTTGTGTTTGGATTTGCTCTTTCCATTAGACCTCATGTCCAATCACTTAAAAATAAGTCATACTGAGTGTAAAGATTACACTTCTTTATCTTTCCACTTCTGCTTCTATTGCCTAAGTTTAAGGCCTCTTTATAGCTTGTCTGAAGTAGGGTCTTAGCCTCCCGAGTGGTTTCACTACCTCCCACCCCCCTGCTTCCCAATCCATTTTCTACACCATTGCCCCACTGTAAAATGAAAGACCCCATTCAGTAACTCTTCTGCCTTTCGTCCTTTGGTGCCTTTCTTAAGGATTAAATGACAACTTCTTGTAGGATAAAATCCCTAACTTCTTATCGTGGCATGTGGGGCTCTTTATGCCCTGACTTTGGCCCCCATTTCCCTTGGCCCTCACAGCTGCTACCACTGTGTGTACAATTGTTTCCTCAGATCTCTTCCAGTTTCAGCCTCTGAGTCTTTACTCCTCTCATTATGTCCCTCAGATGCCCTTTCCCTTCTGGGCAGTGCCTGGAAGCCTCAACCTTATGCCTTCTCTTTGGAAAGCCTTATCTAAGCCATCCAAGGAAGGAAAGTTTATTGTAATCACTCGCTTTATTTCTAACTACTCATTGGCTTCATTAAATATGGAGTATGAACGTCCTTATTAATAAGCACATCAGCACATTTGTTGAATGAACAAATGAAAATATGAAGGAGAAAATTTAGAGTGCTAAGTTTGTTAGTTACATATTGGGTATCTTAGTGAACACAAACACTGTACACACCCTTATCAGCCAAGTCTATAGAAAAAGAGATACAGTAACTACTAAATGTTGTATCAAAAGTCACACTTGTAACATGAACATGATTTTTTTTTTTAAGGGAACAGTGAATGGTAGGGGATAGGGGATTGCTTGTGAACAATCATTAATACAGAGTTGGGAAATTAATCAATTATTTTAAGTATTAATATTTTCCAGATGCCTAGATTATATTATATTCAATGGGGGAATGAAAAAGAATGTGCGTTTGATATGTCCTGTCTGTCAATGACATTAAAATGGGGAGCATGTCAACAATACAAATGAGCTTTATGGGGCAGCATGTGATTAATTCCTAAATGATTCAAATAGTAAGTGCTGTTGGTTCTGAAAAAGGAGAATCTTTGTAGGTTGGGAGGATGAGCAATCACAAACAAAACCTCAGATTCTTCTAAGACTTGCTGAGTTGAAGATCACCCTGCAGAAATGAAGTTCATATAATTCCAGTTTTCAGATATTGAGGAGATAGCTTTCTCACTTGGATTTGGTGATGAAGAAAGTACATAGTATTTGTGTTTGAAGGAACTTTTGTGAGATCTTGAATTTTTGTATTAGAAAAGAAAGTTGAATATCTTCAGAGTGTCATTGAAAATGATGAAGGTGAAGGGGGTTTCCAAATGGTTGGGGGAAGGTGGAGATGCTCATGTGAACCCAGTCCCAAGAGCTGTGGGAATATTGGCCACCTGATATTGAGACACTAGTTACCTCCTCTTGTGAGAGAAATGAATATTTATGAGGTTAGATTTCATGGCACAATGGTTTAAGGGATTCAGCAGCCAACCAAAAGGTCGGCAGTTGGAACTGACCAGCTTCTCCATGGGAGAAAGATGACACAGTCTGCTTCTGTAAAGATTTACAGCCCTGGAAACCCTATGAGATTGTTCTGCTCTGTGCTGTATGGTCTCTATGAGTTGGAGTTGACTTTGATGGCAGGTTTTTTCTTTTTAATTTCTTGATGAATGTATTTCACAGTTGTTGCCTTGCTTCTTAATCTAATTTCTGCTCTTTTGTGGTTTTTTTTTTTCTGAGGACAGAGATATCTTTTAAAACAAATATGAATTGTAGATCACCCACTCTCCTGCAGGGGTCACTATGAGAGTATCAGTTTGTCATCTTTCCTTTGCCACCCAGCAGCATGTGGCATGACTTCGCACAATTTGTCTAAGGATTGTGAAACCTGGTTTGTGTTGGTATCTTATTTTCGAGGGTGATATGAGCTCTAAGTCCACCAAGAATTCTACACGCTCCTATGTATTTGATCACTTTGCTTCTGTAAATGCTGCACCTGTGCAATCTTTTTTTCCTCATGTATTGCTGCATGGTTATTTTAGGTTTCCCATTATGCCTCATTTGCAAATGATAAATAGATGCAAATATACATATTAAACCATTTTAGTGGCTTTTGCAGTGTGACTGATAGTAGCCTAAACTTGGCCTTCTGCAGGACCTCAGCTTATTGTTTAATGGGGTTGTCACTCAGGACACTTACTGGTTTCCTCCAGTGCTTTTACAAAATTGAATTGAGCATGATTAGGTGCAGCCCCTTGACTAAACATTTTTCCTCCTATTTAATCACCATTAGCTGTTTGGCTCCCATTCTGTATTCTTTTGAAGTGGCCCTGCATTGCAAATCAATATCTTTCTGAAGAGACAGTGTGTTGTGAATTGCCTGGACAGCATATGCACGGTTACTTTGGCTGCAATGCTGCTGCAGAGCCCGGGTACTCTGCCTTCCTGGGAACTCCACAGGCAAGTCCATCGTGCTTGGAGAGAAAAAAAAAAAAAAAGATATTTTTTGTTGGGAAGAAGAATCAAACTGTTAAGCTTTTCTCTACGAGTGCTAGCATGTCCTTTGTGTTCTTCTGAACCATTTTTGGTTGTATTCCACTGAGATTAGCTTCTCTTAGGTGGTTTCTGGAGGGTTTTTTTTTTTTTTTTTGCTTATGCTTCCCCCTTTCTTGGTTGTAGTACAGCCGTACCATTTCAGCTTGCTAGTGCAGAAAGATGTGAATTCAGTCGCTGTATGAGCCTGGCCTGGTGCAAACACATTGCTAGAGACATGTTTAAAGAGTTCCAGGTGAATCGAGCCTGAGAGAGACTACAGCAAAACGGTAAGACAGAGCATGCTTAAAATTATAGCAAGGGTTTTAATTTGGAACATCTCGGCAAGTCTGAATCCTGACTCACTCATTTGCAACTTGAAAAGGATTCGTTTTATGCATGTCATTTTACTCACCCTCTTCTATTTAACTGCCAAAAGCACCATGGATTGATAAAACGGGTATTTGAATTAGGGCTCTGACAGGAGGTTACTCCAGGGAGAGTCTCTTGAGGCTCCTGAGGCTATTGCTTGTAGTTTGTAAACACCAGTAGCAGTGAGAAGATGAGGAAAAGGTTTAAAGACTGCTTCTTTGCCATAGCTGAGTCTTATTTCTTCTGAAACTAGTCTTTTTCTTTTTTTAAATAGCTTAAAGGGATCTTACAGATTGTTTGCCCGGCTAGGCTTGGGTGAATGCCCTCTGAGTCAAGCAAGTGAAGGACAGAGACCACTTTTTTTCATTTGGGTAAACTGATGTCTGTGAATCTAGCCAGATTGGGTCTGAGTGAAATAAACATCTCTAATATATTAGGGATCTGGGCTTCCTCGCTGCTCATTCGGCCCCCTTTGCCCGTCTGGAGCACAGAAATGCACCTGCTTTAAGTGTGTGCTGCCTAGCAGAGGTCAGTGTGCCAGTATTTTGTATCATTACACCTGTAGTGCTTACGCTTTCATGCACGGAAGTGATAATCCTTCATGCGGTTCTGCTTGAAGTGCTGGCTCTAATAGTGGACACTTAGCATTTTGGATGCTAATGGAGAACCCCTGCGTGCATGAAGGACTGGGGCAGCAGACCGGTTACTTGCAAGTAATGCTTTCCTGCTTGTGAAAAAGATAAAAATCAAGAGGTAGAAACGTAAACCTTGACATTAATAGAGGTTGAATTTCTATTTCCTTTGTTAATTGGGACACAGTATTGGTGGGGATTGAAGTTGAAGGCCATGCTTTAATTTTGCTCAAAGTGAGACTAATACGTGGTCCCAGTGAGTTTATGAAGGTCCATTTATTAGATAGGTACTGAATGTTAAAGATGTCAGCCTTTGGTTTTTTTATATTTTGCTTTAAAAAGAAATATTCTACTTATGTGTACTTTAATTCAGTAACTCATGTAAAATGTAGAGGTGTAGATAGTTGATGTATATTAGTAAAGAAAATCCTTAGTGACTTGATGTAGCATGTTTGGCCTTATGCCAGTTCTGTATAATTTTGTGACATACAAAAGAATATCTGATTTGAGAGGTTAATTAAGAGTAACATATTGGTAATATGTTAATGGTAGGGTTTCCTCAACTGAAATTTTGTTTTGGGTTCAGGGAGCTTTAAATGTGCTACTGTATGTACTCAACTATTTGTTGTAAAGATTGGACATGGGTTTTGGGGAATGTTTGATTTTGTTTTTCAAAAGTGAGTTCAAATTTTCTTTTATTTTGACCATTTAATATCCCATAGGAAGTAATGATGGAACGTAACCTACTCTTTTCCAGACTTCAATTGCTCTTTTTTTGCTTCCTTAAAAAACAAAACACAACAACAACAAAAAAACCACAGCAACTTTTTTTCCTGTTAAATGATGTGCCCCGTCTTTGCTGTTTCTTTTTCTGAAAGAGAGTGATGTGTTCTAGCTATTTATATTTCTACTTTCACTTTGTGTAAACTGTGAGGTTTATTTTTCATCCTATGAAGAGGAAATTGTACATTTGCAAAAAGTAAATAATTTGTGCATAGGTGAATAGTAGAACAGCAATATGACACTGATTTTACAATCATGCAATTTTGTTTCCATTCTACAAATATTTATTAAGCAGCTATACTATGTGTAAGACACTGTAAGACATGCTGTGCAGGAAGTACAGATGCAGTCGATAGCCTTTCTTCCCTGAAGGAGCTTAGAGTAGTGTTGCCAATTTGCCCTGGATTGTGCTCACTGTACTTTCTTATGGAAGTTCTGGTAGTTTAGTGTCTAAGGCACTTGACTGCTAACCAGAAGGCTGGAGGTTCAAACCCACCAGCCACTCCTC